CTGGGTTCAGGCAATTCTCCTGCCTCAGCCTCCTGAGTAGCTGGGATTACAGGCACGCGCCACCATGCCCAGCTAATTTTTTGTATTTTTAGTAGAGACGGGGTTTCACCTTGTTGACCAGGATGGTCTCAATCTCTTGACCTTGTGATCCACCCGCCTCGGCCTCCCAAAGTGCTGGGATTACAGGCTTGAGCCACCGCGCCCGGCCTACTATATAATCTTAAATTAACAGCAGAAACAGTAATCCAGAATAAGAAATGCACCTAAACGTAAGTAAGATTGTAATAAGGACATGCTAAGTTACCTGATTCAGGGAATCACAATATGTGGTAATTGGGAATAAATTAAATGAGGTTCATAATGTTCTCTGACCTAGCCCACCGGTAATTTAGAAGCATCTGCTGCCCCTTCCTCTAACATAAATGTGTTCAAAAACAAACCCAACTCATTATTACTGGAGAAAGCTTGCAAATCAAAACTACTATAAGGTTATACTTCACATATGCTACAATGGCTAAAATTAAAAAGACAGATAACAAGTAATGAGAATGTGCAGAAACTGGAACCCTTATACCTGCTAGTGAGAATGTAAAGTGGTACAGCCATTTTACATACAGTCTAGCAGTTTCTCAAAAAGTTATACATAGAGTTACCTTACAATCCAGCAATTCCACTTGGGTATGTATCCAGAAGAAACAAAAACACACAAATACTTATACACAAATGTTCATAGCAGTATCCTTCATAATATAGCCAAAAAGTGGAAATTATGTCCATCAATGAATAAATTCATGAACAAAATGTATGTGGAGTACTATTAAGCCATAAAAAGGAGTGAAGTATTGGTATGTTCTACATGGATGAAGCTTGAAACATTATGCTTAGTGAAAAGAAGTCATGAAAGACTACATTATATAATTCTATATAAAATGCCCTGAATAAGCAAATCTATAGAAACAGAGAGTAGAATAGTGGTTGTCTAGAGCTACTGGGAATGGAGATTTAGGGGTGATAGTTAAAAGGGTATGGAGTTTCTGCAGTCATAAAAATGCTCCAATATGGAGAGTAGTAATGACTGTACCATGTTGTGAGTATACTAAAAATCATCGAAATGTACACTTTAAATGGGTGACTTGTATGTCATATGAATTCTCTCTCAAAATCTCAATAAAGCTATTAAAAAATGCCCAACGCTAAACAACACAAAACAAAACAGATTTTACTTGGGAAAGCAAAAGAACAAGACCACTTAAAGAGAATTCAAACATTTGCTTCATGTGAAGCTTGTAAAATGTCATTTTATTACATCAGGTTTTCATAAGTGTAAGATGATTACTATGTCATGAGAGACGCAGGAAAAAAAGCCAACAACTTGGAAAAAAAACTACAATTTGGTCCTAGGTTCTTGGCTTATAAAATGAAATTATGGCTCTCCAAGTCTGTTTTCCTCATTTTAATTAAAAAGGGAAAAGCGTGTGTGTGCGCGCGCATGTGTGTACTCAAAGTGTGGGCACTCCTTCCAGGGGTGCATGTTATCTTCATAAAATTTAATCCAGTAATATCATCTCCTGTGATAATCTGATAACCTACAAATCTCTTAGTCACTGCTACCCAAAAAATGAATGAAGAAAATGCCAATGGTTAATTTCAAGGTATACAGTAGTCCTCCCTTATCCTTGGCAGATATGTTCCAAGACTTCCAGTGGATGCATGAAACTTTAGATAGTACTGAACCCTGCATATACTGTTTTTTCCTATACATACCTACCTAATAATAAAGTTTAACTTGCAAATTAGGCATAGTAAGAGATTAAGAACAATAGCTAATAATAGAACAATTTTGACAATATCCCAGCACTTTGGGACCATTATTAACTAAAGGATACTGGAAGACAAGCACTGTGAGACCATGACAGTCAATCTGATAAGTCAAGTTGCTACTTAAGGTTGACCTTAATGGTGGGTAGTGGAGACAGCATGGATATGCTGGACAAAAGGTTTTAACATCCCAAGCAGAATGGAGTGAGATTTCATCAAGCTTCTCAGAACAGTGCACATTTTAAAATTTATGAAGTGTTTGTTTCCGGAATTTTTCATTTAATATTTTTGGACTGTGGTTGACCATGGATACCTGAAGCCACGGAAAGTGAAACTGTGGATAGGGGTTGCACTTGTAACTGTCTCTTTCTGACTAGGAAGACTCTTCTGAAGAACAGTCATATACTTGGTAAATAGAAATAATCCTTTTAAAATCTTAAGACAGTTAATGTAACAAAATGAGATATTGTTTTCTAACTCCAAATATCTTGTCCAACAAGATATTTATCTACTGTTCATAGCAAAAGAAAGAGATCACTATTAAGATCTGTCCAAGACAGTGGTTTATCAAGTGATGGCTTGTCTCACACACCTTGGGGGCTTTTCAAAGACCATCTGTACCAAAATGTAAATAAGTTACAATGTATTTATTTGACAATCCAAATTACATTTGCAAGACTCCATATTATTTAAGCTCAATTGTTTAAAATACTGCTCCATATCTGAAGAGGTTCATAAGTACTATCTGGCACATAGTATATATTCAACACTGTAGTTCTCTATCCAGTCACTTTAAATTGCGTAACATGTAAGCGACTTCTCAATCAAGATGGGTAAGTGGGTATACATAATCATCTTCTCTCTCTGCTCCAAGCAAATATCAGTAACAGAAAAACTATTTAAAATAGTAATCCTCTCCAAACTGATCATGAAATTCATATGGAAACAATCCATACGTCCAAACTGATGATAAATAAAACCTACAGTGGAAAGCAGAGACTAAAGATAGAAGGTACTAGGAGTACCAAGACCATGTACAAAGGGCAGGAGACAGGAATTTGACTTCTTGGAGTAATATGGAGACAGACAACAGCCAAACTCTCTGGGAGCTACAACTGGGCACCTGCCCATAAATCAAATGCTGGTAAAATACAGTCAATTCAGAAAGAAGTACACCTAGGAATAAAATATTTGCCCATGGCAGGAATATGTTTCAGAGAAATCTATGCAATCAGGAATTAGGCCCTGAGCATACCTGCAGAACAGAACTCAATTTCCTCAGGAACAGAGTCCCCTACTTCCTAAATTTGTAAGATCTGGTTCTGAGATGTGAATCCCAGATGCCAGGGTAAGGCAAAATTGCCCCACAGGGTGAAGCAATGACAGGATGAAAAAATACAAAATAAAATGAATGAATTTTCTCAAAACAAACTTAGCCAACAAATACAAAATGGACTACAAAACATAAGGAAATCCAAAGCCATTAAAAAATAACAACAACAGACCAGGTACAGTGGCTCACACCTGTAATCCCAGTACTTTGGGAGGCTGAGTTGGGCAGATCACTTGAGGTCGGGTGTATGAGACCTGCCTGGCCAACATGGTGAAACCTGTCTCTACTAAAAATACAAAAATTAGCCAGGCATGGTGGTGTGCACCTATAATCCCAGCTACTGGAGAGAACTACAGGCTGAGGCATGAGAATCACTTGAACCCTGGAGGCAGAGGTTGCAGTGAGCTGAGATGATACCACTGCACTCCAGCCTGGGTGACGGAGCGAAACTTTGTCTCAAAAATAATAATAACAAAGCACAAATACCCAATACAAAAGTTCCTTGTGGAAAAAATTGCAAAATACAAAAAATTTCCATCTCACAGAGACAATTCCATTATACATACCACTCTAGACTTATCAGTACATATAAACAAATACAAATATCATGACATCATTTAACAAAAATGGGATCTTGGTCTATGTTTTATTTATGTATGTATGTATTTATAAGACAGGGTCTCACTCTATCACCTAGTCTGGACCACAGTGGCATGATCACAGCTCTCTGCAGCCTTGAATTCCTGGGTTCAAGCAATCCTCCCATTTCAGCCTCCCAAGTAGCTAAAACTACAGGCATGCACCACCACACCCAGCTGATTTTTATTTTTTTCATAGATGGGGGGGTATCACTTTGTGGTTCAGGTTGGTCTTGAACTCCTGGCCTCAAGTGAACCTCCAACCTCGGCCTCCCAAAGTGCTAAGATTACAGGCATGAGCCACTGAATCTGGCCTTACGTATTGTTTAATAACTAACTTTTCTACACCATGAATATCCTATCAATAAATATTTTGTTGTTCTATTCTATTGTTCTGAAAGACCAAAAAACTGTAACTGATGCTCTATTGTTGAAAATTTTAACAGAGAATTGATGCTAATTTTATTAAGTGTAATAAATAGCACTGTGATTATGTTTTTCAGAAGTCTGTATAGATTTGTGAGTCACACGAGAGTATTTTATGAGCGAGTCACACAGGAATATTTTATGAGTTACTGACATGTTTGGAATTGGCTTTAAATGACGCCAGGAAAAAAAAAAAGGAGGGGGTGAAAACAAATTAAAGATCGGTAAAATGCTGATAATTGTTGAAGCTGGATGATAGGTGCATGCGGTTTATTATTTTCTCTATACTTGGTATGTTTGAAAGTGTCATATAAAAAATTCCAATATTCTTTAACTGAAGTATAACTGGAAACGAGAAACTGAGTTTGCTATTGTAAGGCAATCAGGCAATTCCATTTTTATAGATGTTATGGAGCTATATTATTTTTATCCTAAGCAACTTCCTGGGAACAAGTTATGAGATACAGTTAATTCCACCAGTTTACAATCACTGACAATGAAAATGTTGAAGATGACCCAAATTTTAAAATATATTTAGGCTATCTAATTAAAATTATCTTTCTCTTTCAAAAACAGGTTATATGCTGGGTACGGTGGCTCACGTCTGTAATCCCAGCACTTTGGGAGACCGAGGCGGGTGGATCACAAGGTCAGGAGTTCAAGACCAACCTGACCAATATGCTAAAACCCCGTCACTACCAAAAATACAAAACTTAGCCGGGCATGGTGGCGCGAGCCTGTAGTCCCAGCTACTCGGGAGGTGAGGCAGGAGAATTGTGTGAGCCCAGGAGGCAGAGGTTGCAGTGAGCCAAGATTGTACCACTACTCCAGCCTGGGTGACAGAGCAAGACTCCATCTCAAAAAAAACAAAGGTTATATTATAAAGTAAAATTCAAATAGGTTGAATATATAATAACTAGTGAAAATATTTCAGGCTTATCCGGTTTTTAATTTGAAAAGCTATTAATTTTAGAATTCCCTTCCGTAAAATCCTAACGATTGGCTAAGGTGAAAATCCAGAGTCTAATTCTTACAAATTTCAAGTCAAAGGAAGATAAGTTTGGAGGTTTCACTCTGTATTTTCAAGAGCCTCTGTATTACTCTAAAATGTGTAACAGACCAGGCGCAGGGGCTAACACCTATAATCCCAGCACTTTGGGAGACTGAGTTGGGTGGATCACTTGAGGTCAGGAGTTCGAGACCAGCCTGGCCAATATGGTGAAACCCTGTCTCTACTAAAAATACAACAATTAGCCAGGCATGGTGGCGTATGCCTATAATCCCAGCTACTCAGGAGGCTGAAGTTGGCAGTGAGCCGAGATCACGCCACTGCACTCTAGCCTGGGTGACAAGAGCAAGACTGTTTCAAAAATAAATAAATAAATAAATAATAAAACATGTAACAATTTGCAACCACAAAACCAGATTACTGATAATGTCGACATACGCCCTCAGAAAATATGCTTTATACTTAAACACAATTTCTTATTATTTAATACATATTTTTCTATTCCTTCCACCTGGATTTCAATTCTTTTCACAACAAATAAAGCTTTAACTCTAAAATATTCAAATAAAATTGTAACTAACCTTTATATATGCACTTGGGTAGATCTTATGAACAGCATCTCCAGGTGCACGCCCGGCTTCTCTGTCTAAGTAGTAACTCTGTACAAAGACCGCATGGTCGCTAAGGCACCTGACCCAAACATCACCTTCACCTTTACATTCCAACTGCACGCCTTTGCCTATGTGCAACCTTAGGAAGAAAAAGGAAATTATATTGCATCTTGATAAGTATTTTAAATTAAATTTTAGTTCAGACTATATAGCACGCTTAATACTGAAAAATTAAAAAGAATAAAGGATGTCATATAAAACCAAAAGATAGCTATTAACACTTTGGTATATTTCCTTTTTTCTTTTCCTGTTCATATCTAATAATGATGCATATAAATACAGTGCTTACTATGTGTCAGGAGCATGCAGTATGAATTCTCGTTAAACCCTTACAACTCAGTAAGTACTATTATTCTCATTTTTTTAGATAAGGAAACTAAGGCATACTGTCTAAATTGATAGTCACTAGCCACATGTGACTATTTAAATTAAATTAAAACTAATTCGAAATCTGATCAGTCAAATATGTCAGCTATAATTTAAGTACTCAATAGCTACATGTAGCTAGTGGCTACTGAACTGGGCAGTGCAAATATAAATCATTTCCTTCACCACAGAAAATTCTTTCAACCAGAACTGGCTTAGAGATTAATTTGCCAAAGTCACATGGCAAGTGAAAGAGACAAGATTATGTGCTTACGCACACATATCCTTAAAAAGCTGAGGTCACACAGTAGCTAAAATGGTATTTTCATAAGCATTTCCATTTCAGTAAACTTTTTTTTTTTTTTTTTTTTTGAAATTGAGTCTTGCTCTATCATCCAGGTTGGGATGCAGTGGCACAATCTCAGCTCACTGAAATATCCGCCTCCCGGGTTCACGCAATTCTCCTGTCTCAGCCTGCTGAATAGCTGGGATTACAGGTGTGCACTAACACATCTGGCTAATTTTTTGTATTTTTAGTAGAGATGGGGTTTCACCATGTTGGCCAGGCTGGTCTTGAACTCCTGAACTCAAGTGATCTGCTCGACTCGGCCTCCCAAAGTGCTGGGATTATAGGCGTGAGCCACTGCGCCTGGTCTCATCATACAAAGTTATAAACATTTTAATGACTATATAAAAAATGAAAAATTTGTCTTAACCATTTCCCTTTTATTACCAATGTTTAACATTATAAGTTAAACTCTGAGAAACATGTTATCATTTAATATTACTTCCTTTCAGTAATTTGTAGAAACGTATGATCACAGAAAATTTTCAAATTGAATTCCAAAAGGTATATTTACTATTCAAAACACAGAAACCTAACATAAAAAAGGCCATCTTTTATCATTGTATGTTAAACAACACAAACCTCTACAATTAAGATGGCGTGCTTACAACTTCTGAATTTTCAACATGACCTTTATTCCTTTATTTATATTTAAGAACACATATTATGTAGGAAAACCTAACTTTGAACAAAAGACAATGTACTATGCTCAATTTTGAAAGTAACTATCTAACTATACAATCAATACCTTGCTCTCTCAATGGCTTCTGTCCTGTGGACATTGGAGAGTTGACCCAAACAAAAGCGATCTCCTCCAGAAGGGTCCACGTATCCATCAACAGTAACAATAGGGCAGCTTGAAGGAACCTTAAATGTCTCTCCTACCTGAACATCCATTTCAAAGTAAGCAATGGAACACCAATACTCAGGAGCTATAGGAAATAAATGGGAAAGAACATTCTCCCATGAGAGAAAGATATAGCGCTTTCACTTGCACTCCACAAGTCAAAGCTTTTCCTAAAAGAAAGGGTGAAGGGAGGAGAGAGGGAAATGTAATGCACCCAAAACAAGTGGATTAAAATAATGTAATGCATTAAAAAGTAGGAATTTCCAAGTCTTCTATTTTCTAACTCAGTACCTAGCACTGCTCTTAAATGGTTGCTAAGGCATCTGACCCAAATATCACCTTCACAATTTTGTTGTTTTTTGAAATTTCTAATTACCACTTATCATCAAGTTCTAAAAAGTTGTTTTTTAAAATCTGGAATTTGATTCTTACCTCAAAGGACCCGGTCAACTGAGAATTTAAAGAATATAAATCATCAGAAACTAAGTTATTTTACCATGATGTTTCATTTGACTACACATATTCTCTATGTAGTCTCAACTTTTATTTATTTATTTTTTTGAGAGGGAGTTTCGCTCGTTACCCAGGCTGGAGTGCAATGGCGTGATCTTGGCTCACTGCAACCTCCACCTCCTGGGTTCAAGCAATTCTCCTGCCTCAGCCTCCCGAGTAGCTGGGACTCAGGTGCGCACCACCATGCCCAGCGAATTTTTGTATTTTTAGCAGAGATGGGGTTTCACCTTGTTGATAAGGATGGTCTCAATCTCTTAACCTCGTGATCCTCCTGCCTCGGCCTCCCAAAGTGCTGGCGTGAGCCACTGCGCCCGGCCTCAACTTTTATTTTTTAAAAACACATTGACCCTAAGATGTATTCCAGGGAACTGTCCTTGAATAACATCAATTCATGACATATTTTTATAGATTCCCTAATTGAGAGAAAGTGCACAAGCAGGTCAGCTATCCCATCCCTAAGGTTAATTATACTCTAATTACACAGTTGTTGTACGCACAGATTCTCAACTGTCTCTTGGGTAGAAGGTCATTTGTCCCATGTATGCCATAGCAAAAGATAGTTTTAGTTAAGTCAGGTCGTGTTAATTACCACAATTTTAAGTGTGATGATGTATTTAGTGTATTTGAACAACAATATATAATTTTAAATAATCAAATTTAAAAAGAGGTGCTACTTTGGCTTGCAGAGACAATTGATCAAGCATTTCTAATTTTTATTTGAATACAACAATTATTACATCAAGCCCAAATACATAAAAATTATTTGGCCTTCCATTTTTAACCCATTTAACAGATATCTATAGAGCATCTAGGGACCTTTCTGGGCACTACACACACAGTAAACAAAACAGCTACAGTCCCTGTTCTCACAGAGGTACAGGGCAGACAAGTAAACAAATAACTCAGATAATGATGAACAGTTATTTGGAGAAAGTAAGATAGAGCATGAAACAGCAGATGATTGGGAAGAACACTTCAGAGTGGATGGTAGGGACGTCCTATCTGAAAAGATGAGATCTGAAAACCTTCTGTCTGTGTGAAGACTGTGAAGAGATTTCAGAGAGTAAACAAAAGCAAAGGTCCTAGGGTGGAAATGGGTTTGACATATTTAAAACATTTATCTGTATCTCAATATGCTATTTATGAACTTTAAACTAGAATTTGAAGCAACAAAACTTCCAACAATCTTACTTTCAACAAAGTTACTTAGAATGACAAGATCTTAAGGGAAAAAAACCTAAAAGAAGCATGAATGATGCTTAACATTTTTAAAAAAAGAAAACAGGCTAGGCACAGTGGCTCACGCCTGTAATCCCAACATTTTGGAAGGCCAAGGTGGGTGGATCATCTGGGGTCAGGAGTTTTCGAGACCAGTCTGACCAACATAGAGAAACCCCATCTCCACTAAAAATACAAAATTTGCTGGGCATGGTGGTGGGTTCCTGTAATCCCAGCTACTCTGGAAGCTGAGGAAGGAGAATCGCTTGAACCCAGGAGGCAGAGGTTGCAGTGAGCCAAGATCGTGCCACTGCACTCCAGCCTGGGCAATAAGAGTGAAACTCCATCTAAACAAAAAAAGAAAAGAAAAGAGAAAAGAGAAGAGAAGAGAAGGAGGAAGAGGAAGAGGAAGAAGAAAGGGAAGGGAAAGGGAAAAGGAGAAAGGAAAGGGAAAGGGAAAAGGAGAAAGGAAAGGAAAGGGAAAAGGAGAAAGGAAAGGAAAGGGAAAAAGAGAAAGGAAAGGAAAGGGAAAAGGAGAAAGGAAAGGAAAGGGAAAAGGAGAAAGGAAAGGAAAGGGAAAAGGAGAAAGGAAAGGAAAGG